TCTTCATTCCATTCTGGCACAACAGTCTCATCCAAACTGGTTTATTTCCCTGTTTCCTAACACTTAACCTAGAGTATTACCTCTTAATTGCTCTAAAGCAGCCATGATTAACATCATTAATTCCATAGCACACAGAAGAAAAAATATATATTTAAGTAGAAGTGTGCATTGAGAATTGATCTGCTGATGTGTAAAGTTCGCTAATATGCTTTTATCTTCTTTCCTGTTCAGGAAAGAATTGACTACTCCCAGTATCCTGGAGAAAGAAGGTCTATTTCATAACTTGGTCCTCCTTCTCCATCCTATGGATTTTCTTAGTACTTTCTCTGCTTCATGTGTTTTTGCCATGTTGCCTTATGTACTCTTCCCTAATGTTCTTGTTCCCCACTTGCTTCTTCTGCATTCACTTCCATGGATTCCTTTGCTTACCTTTGCTGTTTCAGAAGTTCCCTCTCTAGATACCCTACAGCATTCATTGAGGTGTTATCTTTTCCACTAGTCAGGTCACAGAATGAGACATATTTCTTACTCCTTGGTATTTTCCCTGAATAAACTTTCCCAACTCCTAAGATCTCTGTTTTCTCATTTGCTAAGAGAACATCTGACATCTGTGTCATTATCCCACCCTTTGCCTTGGCTCACCTGTACAGGTCTAGCTGGGTTCGACATCATTTGGCAATTATATTTTATTCCTTAGTGACTGCGGTCCATACAGTCCTTTGATATAATATATTATTAGATGTTAACATAAAGAAAAAAATCACAAGAGAACAAAACATATACTAAAAGTGACTCAAAAATAGTTAAAGGTCCACCTATTTACTTAGAATTCCAGTAAGAAAGGTTAGATCAGGCCAGATCACTAATCAGTGAAGGCAATGTTAATTAAAATATACTATAAATATGCGCCCTTCATTTAACTACATCTTAACCTCTGAATCACTCCTGAGCCACCTCTTGGGAAACTTGTCTGTCAGGCCCACCTGCAGGGCGCAGTTAGACATCAAAGCTCATGGTCTTGCAAAGCTTGCGGCAAGGCATCTAACAGGACCAACTCCCACCTTCTTCATGGTTGTGCTTCCTGCAATCCTATTATTATGCTAGCTCAGGATGTACATACATCCCAACAAGTTGGTTAGCTAATACTACTATTATTATGTGAGGGCTGAGTTTGGATCTCTGTTTAAAATTTAAATAATTAAAAATAAAAGGCTTTTAGGTATATGCTTAAGATACTGGAAATGCAAGCAGCAAGCTTTGGCTACTTAAACAGATATTCTGCTGCTACTTGTTGCTGGTTGATGCGGGGGAAAAAAAAAGGCAGAGTGACATAAACATGTGGTAGATTTCACAGAGTCTTGGTCAGGAAAACAAACATTAATCACAGATGTAATGATACAGGCCAATGAGAGGAAAACGTGCTAAAGCATTGAGGATGCAGAAACACAGTAGCAGCGCTCTGGAATTCTTTTCCACTGACGCACCCTAAAAAACCACCCCTCCACCTCCGTCAGAAAATGACAATTAGCTACTTCCAGTAATGATGCACCTATGAGGGTGGGACACAAATCACCTTTACAAAACCCCCTGTGCTGTTAGGATACAGGTAAAGGACTCCGAAGCAGGCCCAGCCGGTAGGGTGCTGCCAGGCCCAGCGTTGCCTCATAGCAGGAACAGCCTGACGTCCCCAGGACTCCCCGGCCACTGTGGGGAACTCACCTGCCCCACATCCTCAACAGCAGCCCTGGGGGAGCCCAGCCCCATCGCCTGCGTCCGCACACCCCCGTGGAGCAGTCTTGTCCTCAGCCCACACGCCCCGTGGGTAATGGCCTTGTCCCCACACCTCGGCCCCTCTCTGAGGTGGCCTCGGCCCCACACCTTGGCCCCTCTCTGAGGCAGCCTCGGCCCCACACCTTGGCCCCTCTCTGAGGCAGCCTCGGCCCCACACCACGGCCCCTCTCTGGGATGGCCTTGTCCCCACACCTCGGCCCCTCTCTGAGGTGGCCTCGGCCCCACACCTTGGCCCCTCTCTGAGGCAGCCTCGGCCCCACACCCCGGCCCCTCTCTGGGATGGCCTTGTCCCCACACCTCGGCCCCTCTCTGAGGTGGCCTCGGCCCCACACCTTGGCCCCTCTCTGAGGCAGCCTCGGCCCCACACCCCGGCCCCTCTCTGGGATGGCCTTGTCCCCACACCTCGGCCCCTCTCTGAGGTGGCCTCGGCCCCACACCTTGGCCCCTCTCTGAGGCAGCCTCGGCCCCACACCCCGGCCCCTCTCTGGGATGGCCTTGTCCCCACACCTCGGCCCCTCTCTGAGGTGGCCTCGGCCCCACACCTTGGCCCCTCTCTGAGGCAGCCTCGGCCCCACACCCCGGCCCCTCTCTGGGATGGCCTTGTCCCCACACCTCGGCCCCTCTCTGAGGTGGCCTCGGCCCCACACCTTGGCCCCTCTCTGAGGCAGCCTCGGCCCCACACCCCGGCCCCTCTCTGGGATGGCCTTGTCCCCACACCTCGGCCCCTCTCTGAGGTGGCCTCGGCCCCACACCTTGGCCCCTCTCTGAGGCAGCCTCGGCCCCACACCCCGGCCCCTCTCTGGGATGGCCTTGTCCCCACACCTCGGCCCCTCTCTGAGGTGGCCTCGGCCCCACACCTTGGCCCCTCTCTGAGGCAGCCTCGGCCCCACACCCCGGCCCCTCTCTGGGATGGCCTTGTCCCCACACCTCGGCCCCTCTCTGAGGTGGCCTCGGCCCCACACCTTGGCCCCTCTCTGAGGCAGCCTCGGCCCCACACCCCGGCCCCTCTCTGGGATGGCCTTGTCCCCACACCTCGGCCCCTCTCTGAGGTGGCCTCGGCCCCACACCTTGGCCCCTCTCTGAGGCAGCCTCGGCCCCACACCCCGGCCCCTCTCTGGGATGGCCTTGTCCCCACACCTCGGCCCCTCTCTGAGGTGGCCTCGGCCCCACACCTTGGCCCCTCTCTG